AGATTAACCAGGGTGGCAGAGAGCAGGTGCCGCTTCGTCTGCAGCCTCTCAGCCTACCTGACAAGCGATGGAGGGGCTCTCTAAGCCTGAAGCCTCTCACACAGGGGCAACCAGACAGCGGAAATAGAAGCCAATGATGGTGCCAACACCCGTGTCCCAGTCGGCCTGTGGGTGACCTCGGGCAGGTCAGTCCTTGCTCTGAGTATTTATCTGCTGAGACTGAGTTAGTAAAGACTTCCACTCGAGTGGCAGGGCCAATCATAAGACAACACAGGCTCCGTTAGGATGATCCTACACATATAAATTGCTGTGATAGAGCAGGCCGTGGTAAAATCCTCAGGCTAACCGGAAGGACGAAAGGAAAGGACACGACCTCGTAGGTGTGGTCGGAGAGCATAGTCAAAGGCGGGGACATCTGGGAAAGTCCAGAGTGGACGTGAGCAGACTGTGCTGGGTTATGGGGGTGGGGGTAGGGAAAATGACAACGGTGCCGGTGACGACCAGGTGCAGCAGCCACGAGGCCAAAGGTGCAAATGGGAGGGTAACCAAAATGTCTGGGTTATATAGGAAAAGCCTAAGGTCAGCCCAGCTCTGGGCTGGATAGTTCAGGGTAGAGCACAGGGAATATCAGCCTTACCCAGTAACAGGTGAGGACTGAGAGACGCTGGGAGAGGCGGCCATGTTTGCTTTTGATATGTTAAATAGGTACCTCAGCCTTTGTCCCGGATTTAAACTTAACTACACAGAGTAGCTCAACACCCATAAGACCGGTAGGAAAACTGAGTTCCAGGTTAACCTGACTGCAGTGTGATGACACCCCCCCCCCCACCAGAGACCTCAAAGTCAAGGATGGTCAGGCAGAGCTGAACACCTAGGAGGATAAGCAAGGTCAGGAGGTCGTTCATTTTTGGTCACATGACAAATTTCAGGCCAACATGGGCTATATTATCTTGTCTCAAAACAAAATAACAAAACCCCTCAGTTTATTGCTCATGCTGGCCAGAGGTGGGTAACCTTTTCCAACCCTTTTTGTTTATTGTATGTTTTTGAGCTAGTGTCCAGGATAGCCAGAGCAACACATAGAAACCCAGTCTTGAGAAAAAAAAAATGTCCTTCATGTAAACAACAGTAGGGGGTTAAGATACAGTTCGGTGGGTAGAGTGCTGGCTTACGTGAAGTTCTGGGTTCCTTAGCACAGCATGAATGAGCTGCGGTGAATGGTGGTTCACGTCTGAAATCCCAACACTGGAGAGGTGGGTAGAGGAGGGAGGAACAGAAGTTCAAGGTCATCTGTGGCTGTGTAGAAAGTTGGAAGCTAGCCTGGGCTACCTGAGATCTTGACTAAAACAATCTTTTTTCTAGACGGGATTTCTCTGTGTACCAGTGGTAGCTGTCCTGGAACTCACTTTGTAGATCACTCGGGCCACGAACTCATAGAGATCCGCCTGCTTCTACCTCCTGAGTACTGAGATTAAAGGCCTGCGCCATCACCGCTCAGTAAAAAACAAACAAAACAAAACAAAACAAAAAAAAAAACAAAAAAAAAAGGAAGGAAGAAGGAAAGACGAGCTGCCCTGTGGCCCAGATGTTGGTGGCGGTAACTGGCAATGTCTGCAGGGCTGAAACGTAGCATAAACTCTTGGGAGGGCTAGCCCGTCCAACCTTGAGCATGCAACACCATGGACCAGAAACCATTATCCGACCAGACCTAGAACTCTCCTGGGGAAAAGGGGGTGGGTAGAGGGTTTGTCCCAAAGAGGGCGGCTCCATTGCCCTCCTCCGGCCCGCCCTGCAGCAACCTGCAGTTTGCTGTGACTGGCTGTACCAGCTCCCGCCCATCCAATCAGAATCCTTCAAGGAGAATGAGGCGTGGCCTCGGCCTTTCTTGCGCTCCTGCGGTGACTCAGCTGGAAGGCGCGAATTGTGTGGGACGGAAGGGCACAGCCACGTCACGTCCTCTGCTACCGTGTCCGCGTCCAGGTCGTGGAGGCTTGCGGGGCTCTAGTGGGAATGCCAGCACCTGGCCCCTGATGTTTTTCGGTGACCGAGCAAAACCCTAGAACTGTCATTGGGCTTTTGTTTCCTCCCTTTGCACAGCTGACATCAACACTTCCCGGGGCAGGGCCTTCGAGTGCAAAGCCCTGGAAATTTGGAGCTTGACCTTACAGGAAGACAACCTCAACTGCCTCATTTAAAAAAAAAAAAAATTATTTTATTATTTTATTTTTTTGCTAATACCTCAATCCTCAATGTTTGGCTCCAGCCCAGGTTGTCAGGCAGGTGTAACAACAAATAAATCGGGGAGGATAGCAAGCTACAGGAACTTAGAGACAAAGACTTCATGTCTACATGATGAGGGGCCAGGGCTGGTGTGATGGAAGGCTCGGCGGGTAAAGGGATTCTCTCTAGAATTCTGTACGAATCCCAGGGACCCGCGTGGTAGAAGGAGAGACCTCCTGTGACCTCTACCAAACACAGGCACGAAATACCTCTTTCTTTATTTTTTTTATTTCTTTTTTGTTTTGTTTTTTGAGACAGGATTTCTCTGTAACTTTGGAGCCTAGCCCGGAACTCGCTCTGTAGACCAGGTTGGCTTCAAACTCAGAGATGTGCCTGCTTTGGCCTCCCAAGTGCTGGGATTAAAGGCGTGCATCACCAAGGCCCGGACTTTTGTTTGTTTTTACATATTTATTTTGTGTGTGGAAATACACATGTGTGCGATAATCCACATGTAGGGTCAGAATGTAGGGGCCAGAGGACAACTAGTTTTTTGTTTGCTTTTTGAAGACAGTTTCTCTGTAGCCTCAGCTGTTTTCGAACTCGATCTGTAGTCCAGGCTGGCTTTGAGCTCACAGACATCCACCGCCTCTGTCTCCCAGTGCTGGGATTAAAGGCATGGGCCACCACACCCAGTTTTTATTTAGCATAGTGGGTAAGGGGCATCAGAGAGAGGGCTCATCAGTTAGTTGCACTGGCTGCTCTTCAGCGGACCCAGGACTGAGCCAGCACTCACAGGAAGCTTATACCTGACTACAACGCTAATCTTCAGGGACCTAATGCTCTCTTCTGGCCTCCTCGGGCACCGGGCACACATGTGGTACACAGACATACATGCGGGCACATCACCCATACACATAAATTCTTCTTTTTTTTTTTAAATGAGCAAAATGCCAACTGAGAAATGGACAAGATAGAGAGATGGCTCAGTGGTTTGGAGCTCACACTGCTCCTCCAGGATGCAGCTGTGGGTAAAACCCTCTAGAGAGGAACGAAGATGGGAGAAGCATCAGCGACATGACACAGGAGGAAGAGACTGGGCAGATTTAAGAGAGATAGGAATGGGGGATGGAGATAAGGAGGAGGAAAACCCACGATTTCACACTTTGTTTGAAAATGTTATAATTAGTGCCAGGCAGTGGTGGCACACGCCTTTAATCCCAGCACTTGGGAGGCAGAGGCAAGTGGATCTCTGTGAGTTTGAGACCAGCCTGGACTACAAGAGCTAGTTCCAGGACAGGTCCCAAAGCTACAGAGCAACCCTGTCTCGAAAACCAAAAACCAAACAAACAAAAGGCATAATTAGCCAGGCATAGTGGCATAGGCCTTTCATCCCAGTACTTAGGACGTGAGTTCAAGGATAGCCTAATCTACATAATGAGTTTCAGGCCACCTAGGGCTGCAGAGTGAGACCCTGTTTTAAAAAATAGAAAGAGAGAGACTATATAGAGAAAGAGAGGTATCTAATACCTTGTTTGCTAACCTAAAAATAAAATGGGGAGGGGCTAGAGAAATGAATGAGTATAGAGAACCGGCTGCTCTTCCAGAGGCCTAGGGTTCATTTCCTAGCACCTAAATCAGGTAGCTCACAACTTGCTCCTAACTCCAATTCCAGGAGATATGACACCCTCTTCTGATCTCCAGGGGAACATGCAAACATGTTGTATATATGTATGAGTGCACACGCATGCACATGAGCACAGACACACACAATAAAAAAAATCTGCGTGTGGGGGGAAACAATTGGAGGAGTTGTGGCTCAGTGAGTACTTGCCTTGCATGAACTAGGTCCTAGGTTCAATCACCAGTCCTGCAAAAATAAAACCAACCAAACAAACAGCAGAAATGAAGTCTAAAGAAAGCAGTAAAGAATATCCTGAATAGGGGCTGAAGAGATGGCTCAGCAGTTAAGAGCACTGGCTGCTCTTCCGGAGGACCTGGGTCCAAGTCTCAGCACCCACAGGGCAGCTCACACTGTTTTCAACTCTTGTTCCAGAGATTGAGGTTAGCCTAGTTTACAAAGTGTGTTCCAGGACAGCCAGGGCTATACAGTGAAACCCTGTCTTGAAGAACAAAACAAAACAAAAGAACAAAAACCCAATCTAGAGATGCATAGATGGCCAAGGGAAGAAGGTGTGCGGCCTCTCTGGAAGCCCAGGCCGCCTTAAACTCCTAATCCTCATGCTTCAGCACATAAATGCTTGGATCACAGACTTCTACCACCACCATCAATTCAGGCAGGGTCTCTCCCTCTAGACAAGGTCTTTTGTAGCCCAGGCTGACCTTGAACTCCTGATCCTCCAGCCAATGACTCCTTCAAAGAGGTAACAGCACAGGTGGGTACTGTCATTTTATTTTCCTGGTTTGTTCACTCAGGCTCTCTCAGTCTAACTCTGGCCTGAAACTTCCAGCGTTCTTGCTTCCTCAGCACCCTCAGTACAGGGACTGGGAGCTGGACTTCCTCTCCTTTCCTGGATCTAGATTTGTGAGTGTGTGATAGAATAGGGAGGATGACCAGAAGCTCCTCGAGGAGCCTGAGGCTCCATGGTGATTCAGCGTTTCCAGGCTGTGATGAGCCAGTGAAGAACTCCTGGATGATGCTCTTGGACCACAGCCTTTCATCTCTACGCTGGGTTTTCTCCAGAAAGTCCTGCCTGGAGTCTTTCCAACTGCCCCAATACAGGTTCTCAAACAATGACCTCAGTTAAAAGACCCAGGAATAATGCTTTATTGACTTGGCACCTATGAACAGTGGCCACAGGCCTCCAGGCTTCTTTGCTACTGCAGAGTGGAGGCTCTGTGCCAGGGGCAGTGGAAATCAGAGACGGTGCAGGAAGGGGCTCCTCCTGTCCCTGCTTTGTCCCCTGAAGCCCCCTTGTTCAGCCGAGCACCATCTGAGTCCAGGTCCTCACCCAGCAGGGAAGGTGAGGACCTAGGATCTTCTGCAGTCCCCTGACAGTCTGTAGAAAGAACAGCCCAACCCCTTCTGCCTCCCCTCTTTTGGGAGAGGGGGAGACCAAAACAGGTCATTAGAAGTGTTTAAGGGCATTTGCCGTGAGCCCAAGCCTTGTGGATATGGGTGGAGAGAAGAATGGTTGGGGGTACGATATGAGTTTCCCCAAAGAGAAGAGGAGAGTCATTCTCCCACATCTGCTTTGACTGGGCACATTACCACGTTCACTGTACTGGGCCTCTAGCAGGTGATAACAGTCTGAGGCCACACAGTAAGAGGACGGGGGTGGGCACTGCAGTGTAGCTCCCCCCTGCAAGGGGATAAAGGGGCACCAGGAACTGCAGAAATCACAGGAGGGGATCCTTGAAAAGGAGGGGCAGTTCCCCAATAGGCTCCTTTGATATGATCCAGAGTGTACAGCCAGCTGTGTCACAATGGCTGGCACAGGACACTGGCGTCCTCGCTGTGGTCACAGTTGTGGACATCCCAGCGGATATGAGAGCAGAGTAGCAAGGTGCTCTCATCTCCTCGGCATTTGACATTGTCCAAGAGGATGGGGCCTCTGCCTGGGCCAAAGTGGGCCTCGCCGGGGGCTGCCAGAGCCTGGCCACATCCCAGCTGACGGCACAGGACAATGGCTGCCCGTAGGTCCCAGGCGTCATCGCAGACAGTGCCCCACCGCTGTCCTAAGAAGAGCTCTACACGCCCCTCACATCGGTGGCTTCCACTAGCCAGGCGGAGGTGCCCTGGGTTGGAGATAAGGCCGGAGGGTCAGAAGAGCCCACAGGCTCAAGAGATGGCTCCATGGTTGCCATCAAGTCACGTGGTTTGAGTTCCACCCCTAAGAACCAATCAGTGAAGCGAGAAGAGCAATTCCCACGGGTTGTGTCCTCTGACCTTCACATTCATACTGTTGTGTGTTCACATGGGTGTGAACACATGCATGCACGTACACACAGACACCAATAAATAATGCTGGACACGGTGGTGCACACCTTTAATCCCAGCACTAGGGAGGCAGAGGCAGGGGGATCTCTGCGAGTTTGAAGCCAGCCTGGCCCACAGAGCAAATATCAGGTCAACCAGAGCTATATAGTAAGACCCTCATGAGACAAAGTAATAAAAAACTGTTTTTAAAAGGAGGAACTAACATGCTGGAAACTTCCATGCTAGACTAGGTCAAGGGATGCCCTGGGAGCCCTCAGGACATTAAAGCTGGGCAGCAGGACTTGAGACTGAAGAAATAACACGTGCCTCAGTGCTGTGCTCTCTGCTAAGGCCTCTGCTCACAGTCTCAGTCCCTTAGGTTAGCTATGTGACAGTGTCTTCTCTTGCCCCCCAAAGTTTCCTGTCTCCCCTTCTGCACCTGGATTCCCTGAGCTAACTAGTTGTTTTTCTGAGAGGTATGTGGCCTAGGCTGGCCTTGGATTCGCTATCCTTCAAACCTAAATCTCCATAATGACGGGATGAAAGCCATGGGCCCATCACGCTAATTCTGCATTCTCTAGCTCCTAGATTGGATCCCCATCCTTTCAGTTCGATCCCAACACTAGAAGTCTCTAGATTGCTCTAGTATTTAGACTTGTGAGACCCAGGTGGGCTTCAAATACACAGAGCTGGCCTTGAACTGATTTTTCTGCCTCAGTCAAAATGTTGGGATTACAGGGGTGTTCCAAGACACCCAATTTATGAGGTGCTGTGTCACAGATAAAGCCAGGGGTCAGAAAGGGCCGGCCCACAGATGACATGACTAGAGACTGAACCTGAAGATCCTGCAAGCCAGGCAAGCACTCCACTCACAGGACTATATCCCCTACTCCCGACCCCCAGTTCCAGACTAGTTTAAAATCTACCTCCTCCTTCCTGGGTATTATACTCCCATCCGTGAGGCCTGGGAACAGCACAAAAGGACAAGTGTTCTAGGTCCTGGTCAGTTCTGCTTTGCCCTTCTTCAGTCCAGATTCATATTAATCCCAAGGTTCCAACCTCATTTTCAGTGGCAGTAAGCACCTACCATCTCTGGGCCGAGGACTGGGCATTCGGGTGGTCTCAGAACCATCCTGCTGGACTTGGAGTCCCAGCTCCTCTGGGCCTGGCTCAGCAAGGGCAGAAAAAAAAGTGGGGGGCTGTCACTTTGGTAAACATACTCCCTAGAGCCAGGTCATCCATCTCTCCTAACTTTCTCATGTTATAGAGACAGAAAGAACCCCCCAAAACTGCCAAGACACAGGAGGACCCCCGAAGCCTGGGCAGCCAATGGAGATGGAGATGCCACTTTCTGCAACAAGCAATGAACAAAAGGAGTACACCATGTCTCGTCAGACTTTGTAAGCGGCCTTTTTTCACTGATTTCTCTGAAAAGTCAAAGGCTATCTCTGGGAAAGTAGTCTACTCCACCTGCTTCCTCTCCATCACTAGTACTTAGGAGGAACCTTGACTCAGCAAGGATGGAATCACACAACCCTTTGCAAGTCGGAGACAGCACAGCACGAACCCTCCCTACGTCGTGCCCTATTCTCTCCCTGCAGAGGACTCGCCCTTCCGGTCACACCGCTACCGCACAGGCGCAAGCAGCGCCTGGAGGGTGCGGCTACTCCCCTGTGCGTAATACTTCCGCTGCAGTGCAGCAGAGACTGCCACGCCCATTCCGCATCAGAACCCGCTTAGCCCTCACCACGGAGCATGCGCGGCGAGGCCCCGCGCCATTCTCGACTACCCGCCCACAAAACAGTGGGCGCCTGCGTGCAGTTGCTCGTCTTTTCAATCTTGGACCGGCCCTAAAGGCTACTCAGGTCCCCACGGGGCAGTAGGCGCAGGCGCACGACCCCACCCATGCCTTTCAGGCTTGGCCCCACCCCCGCTGCGAGGGTTTCAAGAGGCCACGCCCACGAGGCTGCATATGCCCATGCCCCGCCCCACGCAGAACCCCGCCCATATTGCCTGCGAGCGCATGCGCACACCCCAGCGTCTGCGTCTTCACGTCTCGTCCCGCTCGCCCGCGCCCCGCCCACATCGCGCAAAGCGCCCGCGGGCGGCCGCGCCCATTCCTCCTCGGACTCCACCCCTCCCGCCAGCTTCACCTGCGCACAGGGCTCCGGCGTCTTCGTGATGGCCGCAGTTGTGCTGTCCCCAGCCCAGGTGGAAGCAATCGCTGAGGCGGGCCTCGGTCCCGGTGCAGCCTACGTTGTCCAACAGCACGGGGCCTCGGCCATAGCCGAAATGACCAAGGCCCGTGGCTCCGAGCGCGGGCCCGCACCCCGCCTCGCGGCAGGCCACGCGCGCGTCCGCGAAGTCCCAGTCATCATCGCACACGGTGCCCCAACCCCCGGCGTACAGCACCTCCACGCGGCCGCGGCACGGGCTCGGGCCGCCTACCAGCCGCAGCCTGCCGCCTGCAGGGCGCACAGGCCGGGCTGGGCGGCGGGATCCCTACTGCAGCCCGCATCCCACCCGCTCCCACCCCGGGCGGGACCCGGGAGGCCACTTACTCTTCTTTCCCGAGGCCCAGGCAGCCGTGGTGAACCGCATGGTATCCCTGGAAGGCAGGGCACCAACTCCTGTAGCTGTCGAGACAGGGGAGCCTTTGAAGGGGGTGGGGGGCAGGGAGGCCATTTTACCACACCCACTTTTCTGCCCAGAGCCACAGTGCTATCTGTGAAGTCGCCAGAAAACTTGATAAAAACAAACATCTTTTGAGTTTTTCCTCCCTTTTTTTTTTCTTTTTTCTTTTTCGAGACAGGTTCTCCTGTAACCTTGAATGGCCTGGAACTCACTATACAGACAGGGTTGAGCTCAGATCTCCCTCCAGAGTTCTAGGGTTAAAATCTTTTTTTTTTTTTTTCCGAGACAGGGTTTCTCTGTGGCTTTGGAGCCTGTCCTGGAACTAGCTCTGTAGACCAGGCTGGTCTCGAACTCACAGAGGCCTGCCTCTGCCTCCCGAGTGCTGGGATTAAAGGCGTGTGCCACCATAGCCCGGTTTAGGGTTAAAATCTTTTGGGGTTTTGAAGACAAGGTCTTGCTGTGTCCTTTAGGTTGGCTTTGGACTCCAAAGCTCTCCGGCCTTAATTGGTATGAACCACCATGCCTGGTTTATGTGGTGCTGGAATATAACTGAGTTAAAACCCTCAACTCCCAAATCTTAAATATATTAATTTTTATTATTTTTATTTTATGTTCATTGGTGTTTTTGCTTGCATGTATGTCTGTATGAGAGTGTCAGAAGTTCTGGAACTGGAGTATAGACAGGTGCAAGCCGCCAAGTGGTTGCTGGGACTTGAACCCAGGTCTTTTGGAAGAGCAGGCAATGCTCTTAACCACTGAGCCATCCCTCCAGCCCCAAATATACTAATTGGAATCATAGTGATAGTTGTAGCTCTAATTCCAAACTTCTCACCTTGATTTCCAATTTGAATTCCCTCACATGGACTCTCAATTCCCTACCTCAGCAGCAATCCCTGATTTGACCATCTCTACGATCTGCTCCAAAGTCTTAGCCGAAGTCACTTTCCTGTGTCTTCTAGAACAGTTTCCTTAGTTCCTACCCCTTCCTGGAGCCTTGTCCTACCCCTGGCAGCTGGGAAGGTGGGCTCTTCACCTGCTGGCTCAGTGCGCCATGCCCGGTCTTCTTTCGTGGCCAAGGAAGGTGGTGCAGTGAAAGTTGGAGGACCCAGAGCTGGAGTGGGAGAAAAGACAGCGGGTCAGACATAGGACCAAGGCTGTCTCCCAAAAGAAAACATATTTGACTCGCAGGGCTGGGAGCCCAGCCAGGACATGAAGAGCCCCGTCCAACCTTGACCGTAGTAATCTGTGTGGTATAGATGGGTGCAAACCTGTTGCATGCTTTCATTTCAGTGTCCCGTGTTCTTAAGAAGCCCAATGTGTACAACATACAAAGATGCAGAGCTTTGCCTGCTAGGGACCTCTGCTCATTTCTGAATATAACAAGGCTAATTTTCTGGCTGGGGGACATAGCTCAGTTGGCAGAGTGCTTGCCTAGCATGCTCGAAGCCCTAGGTCCATCCTAACATCTCGTGAAATGATTGTGGTTGTATATGTCTGTAATCCCAGCACTGGGAAGGTAGAGGCAGGAGGAATGGAAGTGTAGGGTCACCCTTTAAGTACTGAGTTCAAGGCCAGGCTAAAATAAAAGATAAAATGGTTTCTCTGTGGTTTTGGAGCCTGCCCTGGAACTAGCTCTTGTAGACCAGGCTGGTCTCAAACTCACAGAGATCCGCCTGCCACTGCCTCCCAAGTGCTGGGATTAAAGGCGTGCGCCACCACTGCCCGGCTAAAAGATAAAATCTTTATCCTATTCTCTAAATAAAATGAGGCTAGAAAGGGAGGGAGTGTGAACTCCATTGAGTGAGGTCAGTGGTGATTCTGCTAGGGCTCTGGGTCACTCAGTAAGGCTCTGCCTTTTACTACCTCAACTTTCCCATCTGTAAGATGGGAATGATAACCTGGTTTGTCACAAACACTTTCCATCTAATAGAACAGAATCCGTCTGTGAAATGGTGTTCCGGCTCCACGAGTCTTATTTGCTGGGCTAAGGGTATATTTAGCACAGAGGCGGAGTACCTAGTTTATATGCACAACGTTCTGGGTTTGATTTCCCAGCACACAACGATAATAACTCATCTGATAGACGGGGTAGGGGGGGCTAGTGCACTAGGGAAGCTAATATAGGAGGAGGGCCAACCCAGACTAGAGAGAGACCCTGCCTCAGCGAGACAAAAATCACATCTATTTTATTTCACTTTGAGACAGGGTCTCACTAAGTAGCCCTGTCTCACCTGGCCTTGGACTCACAGATATCAGCCTGTCATTGCCTCCTAAGGGCTGAGATTAAAGGAATGCACCACCAGGCCCAGCCTTTTATTACTTTACTTTGAGACAGGGTTTTATGTAGCCCAGGCTGGCTTCAGACTCATTATGTAGTAGGGGATGAGCAATTCGTTATGACGCATGTCCTGAGTGCTGGAGTTATCAGTATATACCAGTATGCCTGGTTTATGCGGGGCTAGAGATTACACTCAGGACTTCATGAATGCTAGGCAAGCACTCCTTCATCTAGCTACATCCTCCACCCCAATGCCTACCTTTTATTTACTGAAAACACCTTCCAAATTGGAAATAGGCCATAAAGAAGAATATTCTATTTATTATATCCTCAGAATTGTAAATAACTGAGCAGGGTTCTGCAGGTAGGGGCTTTGAAAATATCTCTGAGGGAGCAATCCTGGAATATTTTTTGCTTTATTCTGAAATAGTCCATGAAGAATACTTGGAAAATGCTAGAAAATTCTGGAGGCATTTCTAATAACAGAGGAACATATATATTCTATATAGCTTCAGTATGTGAGAATAATGAGGGTTATTCTAAGTTGCCTCCCCAGCGCAGGCCTGAGATAAGATAGGTAATACAGCCTTTCTGGAGAGATCTGGAAAGAGTTAGCCAAGCCCTTTTCCCCTCCCAGTCCTAGTTCACTTCCTCCAGTTCTCCTCCCCCACCCTTTCTCCCCGGTAAGGCCCCGCCCCCGCCTGCTCCTGGCCCCGCCCCCGCCTGCTCCTGGCACCTGCACAGAGCGCCCCAGCGTCTTCGTGGTGTCCGCAGTTGTGTACGCCCCAGCCGAGGCTCTGGCAGGCTGCCAGGCGGGGCTCGCCACCTTCGCAGTGAACATTGTCCAGCAAGATATGTCCGGTGCCGTAGCCGAAAAAGGCATTAGTGGTGGCGGCCAAGGCGGTCCCACAGCCCAGTTGGCGGCACACAACAGCAGCGTCGGGCAACCCCCAGTCGTCATCGCAGACAGTGCCCCACAGGCCACCGTGCAGGATCTCCACCCGGCCTTGACATGGGCCGGCGCCGCCCACCAGGCGCACGCTGCCCTCACCTGGTGAAGGTGGATGGAGAAGGTGGGACAAGCAGCATCTTATAAGCCACGAGAAGGCATCTTAATTCACTTCATCTATGCACCAGGCCAAGGACAGTGCCCTCCCTAGGGCCTCACCCCAGCAGGGATAAACTAGCCTGCTCACCCCTTGACCAAACCTTCTGACAATCCAGAGTGCTGGATTGTGGGTCCCAGGATAACCAGTTAAAATGTGTCATCCTGACCTAAAACCAGCCTTTTCTTTTCTATCCCTGCTCCACTGGCCTTCTCCAATGTTCCTGTTTGTCATGTCCAGAGGCTCAAAGAAACCCTCACTTTGCAAGATGTGGCTGACACACTTCCTCTCCCACAAAGCCCTCCCTGATAATGGGTCCCTCTTCCCCCAGGGGTCTTCCCTCTCCTTGTCCCCTTGTCTCATTGTGACCTTGAAGCCCTCACCACCCTCCTGTCACCTCCTCTAGCCTATCCAGGGTCTCCCCACACAAGCATGACTTACCTTTCCCGTTTTGGAGGGTTGTAGCAGGTGCTACACTAGTCAGCACCTTCCTTGTTGGGGGCTGTGTGTGCAAGAATTCTGCAGAGGAAGGAGGGAGGAAGCAAAGATGCGTGGATCTTTCCGTTCACCATCCTCACACAGCATGTGAGGGTGAGGAGTCTAGAGCCCTAAGATGCCTGCTTTCAGGATCACAGCCCCAAGTCCTGGATATAGAGAACCACTGTCTGACGTCAAACTTGCTGTGTAGGCAAGAATGACCTTGAACTTCTGATTCTCCGGCCTCCCCAGTGCTAGTATCATAGGCATGTGTCACCATGCCTGTTCAAAAGCCTAGTTCTTGCTATTTTTTTGCTGTTGTATATGTATGTTGTGTACACATGTGTGCATGTATACGTGCAGGTACGTGCACCATGTATGTGTGCCTGGGGACCAGAGGTCCATGCTGGGGGCTCTTTATTGCTCATTTTGTTTATTGATTGGTTATTATAAACACTTTTTAGATTTGCTCATTTCATGTGCCTGAGTACTTTGTCTACATGTATGTTTGTACACCATGTCATGTGTATACCTGATGTCTGCAGAGATCAGAAGAGTTATGGGTGTCTGTGAATTACCATGTGAGTGTTGGTGAGATCCTCTCCAAGTCCTGCCAGAACTCTAAACCACTGAGCCATCTCGCCAGCTTCTTTATTTATTTTTATTTTATGTATATGATTGTTTTGCCTGTATGTATATCTATACCCCACATACATGGAGTGCCAGTGGAGTCCAGAAGAGGGCATTAGATGATCGCCTGGAACTGGAATTAGGGGTTGTTAATGAGTCACCATGTGGGTGCTAGGAATCAAACCTGAGTCCTCTGGAAGAGCAGTTGGTGCTCTTATCTCTCCAGTCCCTTAAGCCCAGACTCTTTCCTTTTTCCTTCCTTCCTTCCTTCCTTCCTTCCTTCTTTTCTGTTTTTTGGTTTTCAAGATAGGGTTTCTCTGTGTAGCTTTGGAGCCTGTCCTGGAACTCACCCTGTAGTCCAGGCTGGACTTGAACTCACAGAGATCCATCTGCCTCTGCCTCCCAAATTCTGGGATTAAAGGTGTGTGCCACCACTGTCCGTCTTAAGCCCAGTTCTTAATGCAGTTGACATCCCTGGGGAATTTACTAGAAAAATTAAATTCTCAGGCCCTACCGCAGACCTGCAGAATCAGAAAGTCTAGGCTGTGACTACAGCTTGTGTTCTTGCTCACATTTGCCAGCTAGATAACAGCTCTCAAAGCCAGAGATTCTGAGTTTCTGCAGCAGCTCTAAGCACTGCAGAGCTTGTGACCAGAGACCCCAGGGGTCTATTAAAAGGGAGTGGTAAGTCTGGTATGATGATTCATGCCTGTAATTCTCGCATTTAGCAGGTGGAGGGAGAAGAATCAGGCGTTCCAACCCATCTTGGTCTTCATGTCAAATGAATGAATGAAGGATGGATGGATGGATGGATGGATGAATGGGGTGGGTGGGGCACAGCTCAGTGGTAGATTATTTGCCTAGAGTCATTCTGACACAGGCTGGACATGTGTCTCAGTGGTAAAGTAATGGCCTAGCATGCACGAGGACCCAGGTTCAATCCTTAATCATGAAAAAAGAAAAACCAGGAGGGGTACTCTGTGTGGGGGTTCAAGCCCCACCTGGACCCTGCTAGTCCCTTTGGTCCGTGAGCGAAAAGTACTCCAGTCAGCTTCCCTGGCCTCGCGGTGTCCCCTCCTTCACTCACCATCACACAGGACCGCCACATCTTCATAGTGGAAGCAGTTGTGGACACCCCAGCCCCTGCTGCCGCACTCGCTCAGAGAAGCTTCCTGCCCCCGGCACTCCACGTTATCCAGGAAAATGGGGCCTCGGCCTTGGCCAAAGGCCAGGGGCCGCGGCACTGGCAATGCCAGGCCACAGCCCAGCTGACGACACACCACGTTGGCATCCACAACATCCCAGTCATCATCGCAAACACTGCCCCAGGAACCGCCGTGCATGACCTCCAGGCGCCCTCGGCAGCGGCTTGGGCCGCCTACCAACCTCAGTTCTGTAAAAAGGAGGACAAGCTGGTGCGATGGGGAATCGGGAGCCGAAACTACAGGATGTCATGGGAGTCTTCAAACATGTGGCTGGGCCATGCCAGCTTGGGAGTATCCGTGAACAGTTGAAGGGGTAGAGGCAGAACCTACCTGGAAAGGGCAGTGGAGTTGGCTGGAGGGCACTGGCTGAAACAGAGGAAGAACGTGAGTCTCTGCTAGGTTTGGGGGAACTGGTCCCTTCACACAGCTTCCCCTTGCCCACGGTCTCACCTTCACTCTCCTCCTCTTGGAGGCCTCCTTTTCCAAAGGCCTCATCTGTGGGACCACCCCCACCCTCCCTATCCCAGAGGTCCATAATCTTTAAAGATTGGCTCCAGACCCATTCGTCTCGATAGCAAAATCTCAGTAGCTCCCTCTGCTACCTGCAAGGGATCTGAGTGGCCGAGGCTTCTCTCTCTACAAAGCAGTGTTTTGGTGTCATTTTTCATTTTAAGAATTAGTTATTATTATTGTTTTGTTTTTGTTTTTTTCGAGTCAGGGTTTCTCTGTAAAACAGCTCTGGCTGTCCTGGAACTTGCTTTGTAGATCAGACTGGCCTCAAACTCAGAGATCCACCTTCCTCTGCCTCCCAAGTGCTGGGATTAAAGGCGTGGGCCAACATTTATGTGTGTATGTCTGTGGAGTCAAAAATAATTTCTAGGAGTTGGATATCCACCTCTATCATATGGGTCTCAGGAATCGAACTTGGGTGGTTTCAGCAAGTGCCTTCATCTGCTGGGTCATCTCACTAGCCATTTTATTTTTTTATTTTATTTTATTATTATTTTTTTTAGTTTTTTTCAAGACAGGGTTTGGATGTATTCCATGTATATGCAGGAATCTTTGGAGGACAGAAGAGGGAGTTAGGGCCTCTCCAGCTGGAGTTACGCAGAGGAGTCCGAGGTCCCCTGGGAACCAAGTTCAGGTCCTCTGCACTAACTGTGACTGTTTAAACTGCCAAGCCATCTCTCTGGTTAGAATAAAATCTTCGAGGCAGGTTTTTATGTAGTCCTGGGATGGTTTGGAACTTGTGATTCCCCTGCTTCAGCCTCCAAATACTGGGATTATAGCAGTATGCCACCATACCTGCTAATCCTGGGATTTTTGGTGGGGTGGTCTTCTGAAACAGGGTTTCTCTGTGTTGTCCTGAATGTCCTGGAACTTGCTCTGTAGAGCAGGCTAATCTCTTTTTTTTTGTTTTGTTTTTTTGTTTGTTTTTTTGTTTGTTTTTCGAGACAGGGTTTCTCTGTAGCTTTGGAGCCTGTCCTGGAACTCCCTTTGTAGACCAGGCTGGCCTCGAACTCACAGAGATCCGCCTGCCTCTGCCTCCCGAGTGCTGGGATTAAAGGCGTGCGCCACCAACGCCCAGCTTTCACTAGCCATTTTATTTTATTTATTTATTTATTTTGTTAATATTTATTTATTTATTATGTATACAATATTCTGTCTGTGTGTATGTCTGCAGGCCAGAAGAGGTCACCAGACCTCACTACAGATGGTTGTGAGCCACCATGTGGTTGCCGGGAATTGAACTCAGGATCTCTGGAAGAGCAGGCAGTGCTCTTAACCACTGAGCAATCTCTCCAGCCCTTCACTAGCCATTTTAGTATTGTTTTAAAAATTATTTTATTCGCTAGCTGGGAGTGGTGGCACACACCTTTAATCCCAGCACTTGAGAGGTAGAGGCAGGCGGATCTCTGTGAGTTTGAGGCCAGTCTGGTCTACAGAGTGAGTTCTAGGGCAGCCAAAGATACACAAAGAAACCTTGTCTCAAAAACAAAAATACAGTGCCGGGCGGTGGTGGCGCACGCCTTTAATCCCAGCACTCGGGAGGCAGAGGCAGGCGGATCTCTGGGAGTTCGAGGCCAGCCTGGTCTACAAGAGCTAGTTCCAGGACAGGCACCAAAGCTACAGAGAAACCCTGTCTCGAAAAACCAAAAAAAAAAAAATACAAAACAAAACAAAAATAAATTAAAAAAAGAAAAAAGGAAATTTTATTTTATTGTGTGCGTGTTTTGCCTACATGTTGTCTGTGCACTACAAGCAGTACCGCCAGAGGCCAGAAGAGGGCATCAGATACTCTGGAACTGAGGTTAGGGGTCGTTGTGAACCACAAAGAGGATGCTAGGAATTGAATTTGGGTCCTCTGGAAGAGCAGTGAGTGTTCTTAACCAGTGAGCCATAGTCTCCAGTCCCTTTTCAATGATTTCTTGAGGAAATGTCACATAGTTCGGGTTCCCCTGGAATTTGCTGTGAAAATGAGTATGGTTTTGAATTTTTTTAGCCTCCTGATTCTGTCTCCTAGGTGCTGAGGTTATAGACCTTGGCCAACATTCCTCATGCTTCTTCTCTTCAAGTACATATATATGGGTTGTGTGTGTGTGTGTGCGCGTGCGTGCACACACACGTGGGCACGCTCATGCATGCATGTGTCATGTACACAGGACAACTTTGGGAAGTTGAGTCTCTTTCCATCATGCAGATTCTAGGAATCTAGCTCAGGTCCTCTGCCTTGATGACAAGCTTTCTCACTTGCTGAGTCATCTTGCCTGTCCTTTTCCTTTTGCTTGTCTGCTTGTTTTTCAAGACAGGGCTGTCTGTCCTGGAACTTGCTTCAGAGACCAGGCTGACCCCAAACTCACAGAGATCCGCCTGCCTCTGCCTCTCGAGTGCTGGGGGTAAAGTCTAGTTTTTGTTTGTTTGGCTTTTTGGAGACAGGGTTTCTCTGTGTAGTCCTGGCTGCAGACCAAGCTAGCCTCAAACTCTGAGATCTGCCTGCCTCTGCCTCCCAAGGGCTGGGATTTAAAGGTGTGCACCACCACTGCCTGCCTTGTTTTTGTTGTTTTGAGACAGGGTCTCATGTAGCCCCAGCTTGCCTGGAACTTGATATGTAGCTGAGTATGTCCTTGATTCTCTGACTCTTCTGCTTCGACTGGGATGACAGATATGTGCCATCTTGCCTGGTCTCCCGCCACGGTTGACAGTGGGGAGAACTGAGAGTTAGAGAGGAATAGCAGGGGCTGCCTGGGGATACTCACCCAGTGGGAAGAGAAGTAGCAAGGACAGTGCTGGGGGGAGGGGCAAAGGGGCTGCACCGCCCTCCCCAGGCTTCCATCCCTGGCTCCACTCCTCAGGCTGGGGACCCATTTCTATCTCTGCTTCTTTGTGCGTCCAGCCAGTGGATGGCTCTTCAGAGGGTCCCATCAAGAATTGGAGGAGAGGTCACAGCTGGACCATCTGGAACTCAAGATCCCCAGTGTTTCCTTCCAGCTGCATGGGCCAGCTGCAGGGAGGAAGAACATATCCACATGGGGTTGACATTCCTAGTGGAGGGAAAGTGCAGCAGCTAAGAGATGAGAAAGATGGACGTGGGCCAGGCCATGTGGGCTCAGTAGCGTGCTTGCCTGGACTCTGCCATTGAGAATCTGGGGGAATGGCTCGGCTGTAGAGAGCCTACACATCATCCCTGACGGAGGAGCTGGCGGTGTGGCTCAGTGTTGGAGCCCTTGCTGAACTCACACAGGCCCTAGGTCCATTCACAAAAGGGGAAGATGGGGTGAGCAGGGAAATTTATAAGGGGCTGCATTTGGCCGTAGCTGAGGTGTGTGAAGACAAAGAATGACATATGGGCTTGGCAGGCTGGTGGGTTCCAACCAAGGCAGACTCGGAGGCTCAGAGTTATCCTCCAGGCCTTCATAGCCCAAAGTGTGGTTGCTACTATGGGTGGTACTTAAATAATCCAGTTAATTTTAGGGAGCTGTAGGTAAATATTTAAATTTTATTTATATATTTATTTAATTAATTATGTCATTATCATTATTATTTTGGATTTTTTAAAAAAATTATTTATTATATACATACTCGCCAGGAGATGGCGCCAGATCTCTTTACAGATGGTTGTGAGCCACCATGTGGTTGCTGGGAATTGAACTCAGGACCTCTGGAAGAGCAGCCAGTGCTCTTAACCTCTGAGCCATCTCCCCAGCCCCCCATTATTTTGGATTTTGTTTTTTGTTTTTTTGTTTTTTTTTTTTTTGGGTTTTTCGAGACAGGGTTTCTCTGTGGCTTTGGAGCCTGTCCTGGAACTAGCTCTTGTAGACCAGGCTGGTCTCGAACTCACAGAGATCCGCCTGCCTCTGCCTCCCGAGTGCAGGGATTAAAGGCGTGCGCCACCATCGCCCGGCTATTTTGGATTTGAAACGGGGTTTCTCTATGTAGTCCTGCCTGTCTTAGAATTCACTATGTAGACCAGGCTGGCTTCGAACTCAGAGATCCCCCCTGCCTCTGCTTCTCTAGTATGGCATGTGCCACAACTGCCCTATTGATTTTATTTTCATTGTTTTTTGTCAATGTGTGTGTGTGAGTTGGTGTATACGTATGTCTGAGTGTCTGTGGGGGGCACGTGCATGTATGAGCATGTGGAGGGCATTTGCATGTATGTGTCTCTGTGTGTATGTGTCTGAATGTGTGTGTATGTATGTGTGTCTGAATGTGTGTATCTGAGTATCTGTGGTATGAGGTTGTGGGGGGCATTTGTGTGTATGTATGTATGTGTATATGTGTCTGAATGTGTGTGTCTATGTGTATATGTGTCTGAATGTGTGTATGTATGTGTGTCTGTGCGTGTATATGTCTGAATGTGTGTATATGTATGTGTATATATGTGTCTGAATGTGTTTGTATGTGTGAGTCTGTGTGTATATGTGTCTGAATGTGTGTGTATGTATGTGTGTCTGTGTGTATATGCTTCTGAATGAGTGTATGTTTGTGTGTCTGTGTGTATATATGCGTGTGTATGTGTGTGCATGTATGTGTGTCTGTGTGTGTTGAGGATTAGACCAAGGGATTCATACTTGCAGAGCAAATGTTCTACTACTCAACAACATCTCTGGTTCTTTTTGTAAGTTACTTAGGCTGATTCCATGTAGCCCAGGCTAGCCTCCAGTTTCCTGTGAAGCCAAGTGAGATCTTCTGATCCTCCACCTCCTGAGCACCCAGATTACAGGCATGTGGCATTATGCCCCATTTTGTTGGGAATTAAACTCTGAGCTCCCGAAAGACAAATATGCACTCTAACAATTGAATTAATTCCCCATTAACTAAAAATTGAGTTAATTCTTCCCCCTTTTTTGGAGACTTTTTTTTAAAAAAATGTTTTTCCAGACAGGGTTTTTCTGTGTAACTCTAGGTTTCCTGGATTTAGCCCTGTAGACCAGGCTGGCCTTGAACTCAGAGATCCGCCTGCTTCTGCCTCCCAAGTGCTGGGATCAAATGTGTGCACCATCACCACCCAGTTGAGTTTTTTGTTTGTTTGTTTGTTTAAGACAGAGTTTAACTACACATCTCTGCCTACCCTAGAACTGGCTATGTGGACCCTGTCACGCTTGATCACAGAAACTTGCCTGCCTTCCTCCTGAGTGCAGAACCTGTCTCAAGAAATAACGTGCAGCCGGGCGATGGTGGCGCACGCCTTTAATCCCAGCACTCGGGAGGCAGAGGCAGGCGGATCTCTGTGAGTTCGAGGCCAGCCTGGTCTAGAAGAGCTAGTTCCAGGACAGGAACCAAAAAAAGCTACAGAGAAACCCTGTCTCGAAAATCAAAAAAAAAAAAAAACAAAAACAAAAACAAAAAAAAACCCAAAAAACCTTAAGGCCGGGCGGTGGTGGCGCACGCCTTTAATCCCAGCACTCGGGAGGCAGAGGCAGGCGGATCTCTGTGAGTTCGAGACCAGCCTGGTCTACAGAGCTAGTTCCAGGACAGGCTCCAAAGCCACAGAGAAACCCTATCTCGAAAAAAAAAAAAAACAAAAACAAAAAAAAAAACCTTAAGAAATAACGTGCAGAGAACCTGGACAACAATGAGGACCCTAAGAGAGACATACCTGGATCTTCTCTACATGGGAAGTAGTAAAAGAAAAGATCTCCTGAGTAAACTGGGAGCATGGGGACCATGGGAGAGTGTTGAAGGGGAGGGGAGAGAAAGGGAGGGAAGCAGAGAAAAATGTATAGCTCAATAAAATCAATAAAATAAAAATTAGTGCCACCATAAAAAAGAAAGAAAGAAAGGAAGGAAGAAAGAAAGAAAGAAAGAAGTGCAATGATCGAGGAGAACATTTGGCATCAACCTCTGGTCTCCCATGCACTTTATGTGTGTGCACAACTGCAAACACACACACATAAAACGTGGAGCCAGAAAGATCAAGAGATCAGATTAGGCTGGAGAGATGGCTCAGTGGTTAAGACTGCTCACATCTGCTGCTCTTCCAGAAGGACCCAGGTTCGTTCCCAGCACTTACATGGTGACTTGTAACCACCCCTAACTCCAGTTCCAGAGGACCCAATGCCCTCTTCTGACCACCATAGGTACCAGCCACACACGATGCACATACACATGACACATATGTAGACAAAGCACTCATGCACAGCCAATAGATAAATATTTTAAAAAAGAATTAAAGGTCACACTCAGCTACATAGCAAGATCGAAGTCAGCCTGGGCTACAATGAGGCTCTGTCTTAAAAATCAAACAAAACAAACACCCAGTTATGGTTATTTACTTCTGAGGCAGGGGAATTGTCCCAAGTTTGAGGCAAAGCCTGGCTACCTGGTGAGTACCAGGCCAGCTTGAGTTTCAGAGACTGAGACCCAGGCTCAGCTTCCTGTTCCTCTCAAAAAAACAAAAACAAAATCTCCAGGGGCGGGCTGGAGAGATGGCTCGGTGGTTAAGAGCACTGGCTGCTCTTCCAGAGGACCTAGGTTTCATTTCCAGTACCCACATGGCGCCTCACAACTGTCTGTGACTACAGCCCGGAGGGATCTGGCACCCTCACACAGACATACATTCAGGCGAGATACCATATAAAAATAAATCTTGAAAAAAAAAAATTCCCCGATGAAGGCAGGCCTCTATGAGTGAGGGCCAGCCTGGTCTAGAAGACAGCTCCAGGTCACCCAGGGCCTGCCTAAAAACAAAAAACAAACAAAGAAACAACTCAGGCCGGGCGATGGTGGCGCACGCCTTTAATCCCAGCACTCGGGAGGCAGAGGCAGGCGGATCTCTGTGAGTTTGAGACCAGCCTGGTCTACAGAGCGAGTTCCAGGACAGGCTCCAAAGCCACAGAGAAACCCTGTCTCGAAAAACCAAAAAAAAAAAAAAAAAAAACAACTCCACCTGCGAATCTCAAACAAATTTTACATAATTTGTGCACTAAGATCCTAAGAATAAGGAAAACGCACAGATGCAGAAAATAGCTGGAGGGCCAAGGGGGCAGGACCAGGCTTGCGTGGGCTGGAGGAGAGAAGCACACACCTGCCTCCCAGCCCCTTTGGGGCCAGTAGAGGAGAAAATGGCCCTGTGTGGGATCCTTGAAGCCCGAGGTGCCCAGGGGCATGGTGCCCCTCCCTGGAGGATCTCTCCCTTGCTTTTGACTCCACCCTGGCAAGCAGACAGTGCATTTGGACAGAGGGTTGAAAACAGATCTGGATGCAGACACGAGGTTTTCGACACTCCATTCATGGAAGCCCAGGATAGTCCCCCGCAGAATAATCCCCTTTTGTCTTCCTCCCACCCTGACTGGAGACAGCTGGGACCCGGGAACTGGGAACCGTAAAGATGGCAGCTACAAGTCAGTCTTTCCTGGTACGGATGCGTAATTTCCTGGGCCTTCCCATGGCTCCCAGGTTCTAAGGGAGCCCTCCTGCCACCCCGGACCCGTTCACCTCCCTCCCAGAGGGACCCTGCCAGAAATCCTCAGATGCCCCTAAGGTATTCCTTGCTTCTGCAGCCTAGGATCCCAGAGAGACAGACACTCTCCTCCAGGATAGCTGACAGGGACTTGAAATCCCAGACAGCCTGACTCTCTAGATCACGGTGTGCCAGGGAACCCAGGCTCAGCCCCACCGCCTTCAGCTCCAAACTGACTCCTCTAGTCTGTCCCTCTCCCTGTCCCATTCTCAGTGGACAGCAGTGGAGGGACCGCTTTGTCCCTGTCCTAAGAGGCTGTGGTGCTTTGTTTTTGAAGAGGGTTTCAAACTCCTCTGTAGCCAAAGGTGACCTTGTGCGCTTCACGTTCTTGTTTCCACCCTGAACGCTGGGATTATAGGCGCGGGCCCCACCACATCTGCCTTCCAGGGTTCTTTCAGATATTTGTGTTCTAGTTTTATGGGCATAGGTGTTTGGTCTGCAGGTATATATGGGCACTGCATATGTACTTGG